CTCTTATCAGCAATTAAGTGATTGTAGTATCAATCTTGACAGAATTGGAGGTTTTGCTTTAATATCCACACATTATATTGTGCACTGATATATTTGAACTCTGGTATGTTGAACAAGGCAAAAATACCCATCCTTGCAAACATGCAAAGAGATTATTTGAGCCAAAAACCATCATTTACCAGAAGAAAGACTAGGAAATTACTTCTTGACTTCCTTTTTCTTGTTTCTGAGCAGGTGGAGACAAAGCTCTAGGATGCTATCATCACCCATTTTTTTACTTAGGAATGCCTCCAGAGTATGTGGGATTCAGAAATATTCTTAGAAACGATGATTGTTTGAAGCTGGTATTTTGCTTTGTGGCACATCCACCCACCCTTTAAAAACAAAAGCAAAAATTATAAAGTGAGGAGAGAAGCTGACTGTTCCAAGAATGTTCAAGAGGCACATTTGTACCAATGTAGAAACTGGGAACACTCATCCCTTACCTTGCCTAGTGTGATGGAGTGTAGTCTGGATTCCCAGGAGGGAGGGGCTAGATACCAGAAGGCAAGAGGCAGTCGAAGTTTAGATAGTTTGTTAAGACAGCTCCTCCCTAGCAATTCCCTGAGTATATCTTTAATGATGTAAGTTGTTGCTTTAGTTTAGCAAAAATTGTGTCTATAGGTAAGAAACAATAAAAGAAACTCCGTATGACTGAATAAAGTTTTGATGATGATTACTTATAAATAATTCTACATGTTTTTCTTGGTTCTTGGAACGTGACACCCAGCATACTACACCAAAATCCAATAAATCGCATGATGGCTCACCATCATCTGTGAACTCTGCTGTGATTCAAAGGTATGCTCTTTGTTCTTTTTGATGGGGTTGTTAGACTAGGAAGTCTAATGGAAATACGGGTAATACATGAGCCGTGGTGGCGCAGTGGTTAGAATGCAGTACTGCAGGCTGCTTCTGCTGATCACCGGCTGCCAGCAGTTTGGCAGTCTCACCAGCTCAAGGTTGAGCTGGTGAGAACTGCCTTTCATGCTTCTGAGGTGGGTAAAATGAGGACCCAGATTGTTGGGGGCAATATGCTGACTCTGTAAACTGCTTAGAGAGGGCTGTGAAGCATGTGAAGCGGTACATAGATCTAAGTGCTATTGCTATTGCTATTTTTCAACTTACAACTATTTCTTTAACAACCATTCAAAGTGACAGCAGTGCTGAATAAAGGTATTTTACAATTAGTCCTTGCACTTACAACGGGCATAGCATCCCCGTAGTCATATGATCAAAGCTCAGGCACTTGGCAATTGGTGTGTATTTATGATGACTGCAGTGTTGTGGGATCACATGATTGCCATTTACAATTTTCCCACGGAGCTTTCAACAGGCAAAGTCATTAAGCACTCATTTGCTTAATGGTCATGTAATTCGCTAAACCATCTTTGCTTGTAAAATCCAATCAACTCACTTAATGACTGCATCACTTACCAACATGAAGTTCTGTTCTCAGCTGTGGTTGTAAGAGGAGGACTACTGTAGAAGTAGAGGGATGGAAACATTACCAAGATTTGAAGGATAGTAAATGAAGCAGTATAATCCTAGTTCTTGTGTTCGCTCACAATATTTGCCAGGCAAAAACTATTTTCACCTTTCATAGATCCCAATAGCTGTAAGAACTATGCCTGCCTACACAATTATGATCAACCACCATAATAAGATCACTATGATAGCAGAATAAGGATAGATAACCCTAACAGGTTCAGTTTTTAAAAAAAATTAAAGCACACTAATGAGCAAATGGATATTCAGAAATTTTATTGAGAACTGTTCAGATCTCTCAAATAACCATTTAAAACTGCTCAGGTTTGCTAACATTTATACAAGTAGTCCTCGACTTACAACAGTTCGTTTAGTGACTGTTCAAATTGACAATGGCACTGAAAAATGTCTTATGACCATTTTTTATAGTTATGACCTTTGCAATATCCCTATGATCATGTCATCAGAATTCAGATGCTTGGCAAAATTGGTTCATATTTATGACCGTTACTGTGTCTCAAGGTCATGGGATTCCTTTTTGTGACCTTCTGACAAGCAAAGTCAATGGGGGAATCCAGATTCACTTAACCACCAGTTTACCAATTTATCAACTGCAGTGATTCACTTAACAACTGTGGCAAGAAAAATGGGGCAAAACTCACTTAACAAATGTCTCACTTAATCACAGAAATTTTGGGCTCAATTGTGGTCATAAGTCGAGGACTACCTGTACTGACTGATGCATCAATGGAGAAGCAATTTCATAGGTAGGATTCTTATCTGCTTTTGCAAGACAAGAGCTGCATTATTTGATTAATAGTATAGCAACAAAAAATCACACAACACAGAATGTTTGCTAATGGCTACAATAACCATTTCTGCTCTTGAATGGCTTACATTACTATAGAATTTTCGGCAGTTGTAAGATTGGTCATCAACATTATAGAGTGCTCTTTTATGAACAGGAAGAAAAGAGAACAATGTTTTAGAAAAGGGAAAAAAAACATTGGAAGAAATTTGCGCTACCATTTGCAATTTTACAAGCTTATTATAGAATAGAATAGAATAGAATTTTTTATTGGCCAAGTGTGATTGGACACACAAGGAATTTGTCTTTGGTGCATATGCTCTCAGTATACATAAAAGAAAAAATACGTTCATCAAGAATCATAAGGTACAACACTTAATGATAGTCATAGGGTACAAATAAGCAATCAGGAAACAATATCAATATAAATCATAAGGATACAAGCAACAAAGTTACAGTCATACAGTCATAAGTGGAAGGAGATGGGTGATGGGAACTATGAGAAGTTTAATAGTAGTGCAGACTTAGTAACTAGTTTGACGGTGTTGAGGGAATTGTTTGTTTAGCAGAGTGATGGCGTTCGGGAAAAAAATGTTCTTATGTCTAGTTGTTCTGGTGTGCAATGCTCTATAGCGTCGTTTTGAGGGTAGGAGTTGAAACGGTTTATGTCCAGGATGTGAGGGGTCTGTAAATAGTGAATTTGCTATTATTAAGATACCTTACAGAAAGGGTTATCGTGGTTATGCATCAAAATGGTCACTAGTTTATGGTTCAGAATACAGTGCATTCTCACATAACTTAGTTAATTCCATAAGTTGCCTATTAATTTGTTATATAAACTCACCTGCATGCATACATGTATTTCTCTTACTTGAAAATAATAACTTCGAAATGTGTTGCTCTTATACTTCAACCATCTAGTGCAGGGATGTCAAACGCAATTTCATTGAGGGCCACATCAGGATTGTGTTTGACCTTGGGAGACCGGGGTGGGCGTGGCCAGGGTAGGCATGGCTAGCTTGATGTCACTCCTTTTGAAGGTGCCTCTGCACGTGGCCCTCCCGAGCTCTGGCAGAGGGTTGTAAGAGGCCGTGGCAGCCAAAAACAGAGCTTGGGAGCCAGTTTTCACTGGCAGAAGCACTGCAGGCCGGTTCTTCACTATTTCCAGGGCGGCCCCGCAGGCCAGATCTAAGTACCCCGCGGGCTGTATCTGGCCCCCGGGCCTTGAGTTTGACACCCTTAATCTAGTGGTTACCTTTCAAATCAGGTTTGTAGTGGGTTTTCCACTAGTAAAACCAATCTTTCCAACCACCTATATCAATGAAGATGTTACCTAGTTGGGTAATGAAACATCTGCAAGAAAACAAGCAAGCTCAGAGAACAAGGATGCTACAGTTCAACTCTTGAACTACAAATATGCTCTTCTATTGGTATTCTGCTCAAAGATCAATCAGGCAGTTCCTACTTATACACCATCTCAATTGTTGCTGAGGTGAACAAGCCTTCCCCAGTTTTCACAGTTATATTTATGTGACTGAAGTCAATATAATGCTCGTAATATAATTACATCATAATTTTTGATACTCAGTCATAATGCAGTTACAATGCTCCAGATGTTCATATAACTCAACTCAAAGTATAAAATTGAAGCAAGAATGTGTGGATGGATTCTTTTGGAATATCAGTATGAAGTTCAGGCTGTCCAGTTTTGTCAATCCAATTCCTGGTGACAGGTGCTAATTTGGTTTTCCAAATGTTTGCACGTTTTCCTCTACACGCATATTTATATTACATATCAAAGAGCGCAAAAGGTCAATCAACAATCAGAAAATATCTCATTTCCAGAAGGCTGGCTGGTAGCCAAGAAAGAAACTTAGAAAAACTTTTAATAAAGAAGTCTGAAGCAATAGCACCTAGGCATACGTCGCATTTCTCTAAAATACATTTATTTCTAAAGGGAATCTTCAACAAAAATGAAAAATGCTATTCTAAGCCTATGATGCTAATATTATATTTCATTATATTTATATTCAGACAAAGAATACGCAACTTTCAAATAAAACAGGTTGGGAAGGTTGTGCCAAGTCAATAACACAACTAATGTGAATTGAATTATGTATTCATCTTAACATGACGAACAGAGATCCAACATTGAACTGAGTCTGGGTCAAGCTACAGTACCAATCTTCAAAACTAGATATTTTGATAATAACAAGTTCTGTGGTATACAATTACCACTTTTTTTAAAAAACAAAGAAACTATATTACATATTGCCTGGGGGAAAGGAAATCTGAATTGAATAGGGTAAAACCAAGCCAGCTGTTTCCTTTCCTTTCATCTACTCACATCTCAAAAGAAGTCTATGTATGTGTTCCTCCTCAACAAAGAAGAGAAGAATCATATGGGTGACTGAATCCTCCTGACCCAAAGCAGGAGATGTAAAATGTCAAGCTCTGCTATTCCACCTCTCACTTCATCTCAGTATACTCAGAAGGCAACACAAAAAGTGGCAATCACTTCCTCTGTTTAGTTTCCACCGAAAGAAATCAAGGCAGCTGGCTTGTTCAATAGGGTAGCATGGTGCATTAGCAGCTCATGTAGAGAAGAAAGGGGAAGTTGGTGGGAAATGTTTTGTGAGGTAAAAAAACAACGCTCAACACAAAGTCCGATCTGTTGCTATTTAATATGGTCTCACAATGGCTATATAATCTGGTGCCCACCCGATCTTCCCACGAGACAGGGAAAACCTACAAGCGATATAAATAGGGTGTGCATCTCGCTCTGTGGGTTGTGTACATTGAAAAACAAACAAGAACAAGAATCCATTCCACAAGGCTATTGGTGGTAACAGCTGGGGGGGGGGGGCAATGCTTTCTTGCTTTCTTCCCTCGCTTTCTTCCTTTTTAAAGTCAGAATCCTCTGACTTCCAGGACTGAAAAAAAAAAAAAGATATAATGATGTCATCCATTATTTCAAGAAGAATGCCAATTCAAAATCCAACTACTTTAATTGCATCCCTTGTGGAAGACAAGGAAATATGTATAAATTGACAGAAATAACTTGAGATTCACATGGTTGAAATCTATAGACCACCAAGGCAGTGGTGCAAATAAAATTTTACTGTAATTTTACAAAACAAAATCCATTCTCCCCACTTCTAATCTAAGAGATGCTGCAATTGTGGCTGCAGAAAAGATGTAATCAGTTTTTTTTAATTTTAAAAAATTAAGGTGATGTTGGTAGAGTTCTTGCTTGCTTGCCTTCAGTAAGATAAGATGATAAGATAAGATAAGATAAGATAAGATAAGATAAGATAAGATAAGATTTGTCATTTTTTTATCCTAAGCACACTGGCCCATATTAAAAATGAATTCTGTTGCCTGCTATCAAAAGAAAGTATATATCTACTCAAACACATACATAATACACATATATACATGCTATATACATACATATATACCTGCAACATACATACATACATATGTATATATGTGTGTATATGTGTGGGTGTGTATACACACACACACACACACACACATACACACACACACATATATTAATCAATGTCCATTTTAAATGCATAGTGGAAAAAGGAAACATGAAAGTTCGCAAGGTTGATGCTATATGGAACAAAACTGTGACTGAATCTGGATGTTCTGCTTCGGATACCACAAAGCCCCCTCCCAGAAGGTAACAAGGGAAACAGGTCATGAAGAGGATGTGTAGCATCCCAGACAATCCCTGTGAACTCTGCTCAAGCTTGTATGCTATGTCTTGGAAATGAACTAAAAATTATCTTTTCTGCCGTCCTCATCACTCTCTGCACGGCCTTCCTGTTTGAATTCAGTGTTAACTCCAGTGCCTTGAATGAATTCAGTGCTGACTCCTGGACTAGCTTGGACTAGTCCCTACAATTTTCTTGGCAAGATTTTTAGTAATGGTTTGCCCCTGCCTAATTCCTATGGCTGAGAGAGAGTTTCAACCCTAACCCTAACCCTAACCCTAACCCTTTTGGCCTCCGTTTCTAGCCTGATGCTTAATCACTACACCAAACTGGCTCTCTCCTCTTAATTAACATTTTTGAAAATGAAATATTGGCTAACATGTGTTATGGGTGTAATATACAGTTATACATCTCTGCCCCTGGCGAAGGCAATGCTATTGATGTCCTGTCTCAGTGTCTGGAGGCTATGGAGACCTGGACTTGAATCCTGCAAGGTTGAGTGACTTTGCTTTTGGGCCTTTTGGGCCTTGGATTTTCCTGTCTTTGGATGGGATAGGGCATGTTGGGACAATGCAACCCAGTCTAGGGGATTTTGTGGCCTCATGACTCCTGCTGAAAGAGCAGGAGAAAGTTGTGGCTAGGAAGCCTTTCCACAGTTTTGTGTTGCGCTTTACTAGGCCACTCTCCGGAAATAAGTGTTTTTTGATTCAGAGAATCAAATTCTGAACCATGAATCCATTAGGCTTTCATTAAAGTGAGCTACAAAATCTTCAGTGACATTTCCAACACAGGAAATTTAAACATTCTGTGAAACAGACAGACACGTATTCGAAAAAAAGATTATATAACCTGACTTACTTATATAAATAAAGTTCACAAAACCCTTGTACCTTTGCTAAGAAAAGGAAAGTGCAAAACTGATTTATAAGCCTAATAGTACTCAAAATGACTCAGCTCAGCTACTATGCTTTAGGCAACATTTTAAAAACTAGTGCAACTCCACTATCTATTTTAGTTTCAGCACACACACACAAACACATACACAGAGAGACACAGAAAGAGAGAGAGACAAACAGAGAGAGAGAGAGAGACAGACAGACAGACAGACAGACAGACAGACTGAGAGACAGAGAGAGAGAGACAGAGAGAGAGAGAGAGAGACAGAGAGAGAGAGAGAGAGTGTGTGAGACAGAGACAGAGACAGAGACAGAGACAGAGACAGAGAGAGACAGGCAGACAGAGACAAACAGAGACAGAGCCAGTAGACAGACACAGAGAGAGAGAGAGAGAGACAGAGAGAAACAGAGACAGACAGACAGACAGACAGACAGACAGACAGACAGACAAACAGAGAGAGACACACACAGAGAGAGAGACACACACACACACAGAGAGAGACAGAGAGAGAGAGAGACAGAGAGAAAGACAAAGAGAGACAAAGAGGGGGGGGAGAGAGGGAGAGAGATTAAGAACTCCTGTCTTAGCTACTATACCACACTGATTTAAGGAAGAAAAGTTACTTACATAAATAACAAATACACACACTTTTCTCATCAGCTCCGTTATCTTGGTATATTTGTCTATATGCAATTAGACCACTCATCTAAAATAGTGGGGCATTTCAAATTCAGCCTCTTTTTGAAAAAAAAAATCATATTTAAGATTTAGCAACCTAGGTAACCTCTATTTTTATTTCTTTCCATCCAATGTCATCCATCGCTTTTCGCCCCACAAAGATATTTGACAAATTCTGTCGTTAGCCTAGAGAATAGGTTTGACATTTTTCTTTCTCTTTCTAATTGCCTAACTTCTCTCAGTCAACAATTCAGCCCAGATGATTATGCATCCATTTAATAATTTCTCACAGTTTATTAAAAATCTGCACCAGACTAACAGTGCATTTAACGTCTTGAATGCTTATGCCTTTTTGTCTGACCTCTGTAATTGGATATGACCACTTCCTGCAGTCTGTTACACTTTTAAAAAATTCTGCACAAACTGCTGAAAATAGTCATTTTATGAGCTGTTCATTCACTCTCAAAAGTACATACTGGGACAGAATAGACACTACCCCTAATGTGCTACAAAAAATACATTATGAAGCAATTAAAAGCTTATGTGAAAATCCAGGATTTTTCTACAGAGGGGGCTTTCTACTATATCTCTAAATGTTTCATTGCTCTGATCTTTATCTCAATCCAATATGTGTGAATTATTCACACTCCAGTATATGGATGCTCAGTCTTCACTTTCTCTCTAGCAATCACTGGTACCATGGGAAAAATAGAAACAGAGAAATGGTCGTAGAGTATTTTATAATATTGTTCTAAGAAAGGTAAGCAAGAGAAGCATCCAAATTTTAATTCAGAAATGACTCCAAATTTCAATTCAGGAAAAAAAAAAATGTGCGTCAGACATCCCATATGTAGGATATGCTCAGCTAATTGGCTTTACTGTGGCACAGGTTTTTCTCCAACAGCATAGCCCACTCCCTATTTTCACAGTGAGTCACAAATCTGGTGATCGAATGAAGCCATGGAGCTGTCAAACCTAACTCTTACCCACAAACAACCATAGTGCCAACTAACACACTGTTTCTGTCTTTTTATTATATAACTAGGCAACTTGTGCCCTATTACACAGAGAAACACATTGATTATAGGTGGGCAAAAAAAGCAGTGGGGAGTGACTTGTGACTTCCTGCCAGCTTTCCCGTTGAGTTTTCTTGTGGAAGTTGGCAAGAAGGAATCTTTCTCTTTCTTTCTTTCTTTTCTTTCTTTCTTTCTTTTTCTTTCCTCCCTCCCGCTTTCTTTTTTCTTTCTTTTCTTTCCTTCCTTCTTCCCTCCCTCCCTTTTTCTTTCTTTCCTTTCCTTCCTTTCTTCTTTCTTTTCTTTTCTTTCCTTCCTTCTTTCCTTCCTTCCCTCCCTCCCTCCCTATTTCTCACTGACTTTCTTGGGGGGGGCGGGGAAGTTGCAGGTCCAAGTCAGAAGGGATAAATGGCTGCTGCAGAATGGGGAAGGGAGTGAGACAGTCCATTGGGGTGTGGCATGGGTCAAGGAGGATGTTTGGGGAAAGATATGTGAAAAGATTGCATGAGTTGGGGAGGGCAAGTGGGAGATGCAGGTAGGGAAGGATACTGGGAGGGCTTTGAAGTATATATGAGATGAAGAATGCAGGTAAGGAATTTTGCATGTGTGATGTGGATATGGATAAGAAAGGATACCTGGGGGAGAGCAAGAGGTGCCATAGAGTTCAAGGAAGGCATGAGGGGAATGGCGTGGGTCAGGAAGAGTGCCTGTAGTACCCAAAAGGTGCTGCATGGATTGGGGAAGAAGCATAGAAGCACAGGGGACAGCATGAATCAGGGGAGTACGCAGGGTGCAGCATGGGTCAGGAAAAGTGCTGGAATCCCTTCCCTTTCCATTAAGCAGGTGAGAGGCTGCTGCTAGGTGAGCAAGAGAGTGAGGGATTGCAAAACTGGCTGGGAAACTGTCACAGAATCTTGATAATGGAGATTACATGATCATAGCAGCCCTTAGTGGTAGCCGGTAGCACTGAAGCAGTCACAATTTCCCCAAATTTCATTCCTCAGTGTTATGGGTTCCAGTTGTTTCACACATTCTGTATGTCAGCCCATTTGAGGTACCTTAGTTCAAAAATTGCTGTCCCCTGATGCACCGTCCACTCCTTGTCAAGGTCATGACAACAAGAGTTCTTCTATATAATTTGAAGAATGGAAAAGATATGCATCACTTACACATCAACAAGTAGGATTTACTGGCAAATGAGGAATTAGAGTTATCCCTCTTATTTAAGGGTGACAGCCAAACATACCTCCTCTATTTATACAGTGCATCTACCTAGGCAACTACACAATGATAAGGTGTGTCACAGATCATTATGACGGATGGTACAATAAAAATGATTATTGTTGTAAAAA